CTGATATTCTTTTTTTTTCTATTTTGATTACTATCAGACATTGACGAGTGTGCGAACGCCAATGGAGGCTGTGAGCACGTCTGTACCAACACTGAGGGCAGCTTCCAGTGTTCCTGTCATATCGGACAAACGCTCAATGGAGACGGCCTAAATTGCGACGGTAGGTGATGGCATCTTGTCCTTATAAACAGACGCCACAGCTCTGTTCGTAGGGCATCGGGCAGAATGGGTTGACAGCACATGGATGAGGGTAGGGTTAGACAGAGACAATGTCAGCAGATCAGAAGGTCAGGAAGAGGACATTGGTGATCGTCTCAAAGTCTTTCAGGGAAACATAGCGAGTATAGGGCAAATGTCAGTAATAGACGCAGGGGCAGAGGGCCCAGAGATGGCAATGTAATGTTAAGTGTGAAGAAGTATTTTTCTTGGGAAATGTCGTTGTTTTGGACTTGGATGTTGTAGGTAAGGGTTGTAGTATCTTAATTATGTTGACAAAACAGACTTGCAGCCATGTTTGTGTTGTCTGGCTTGCTGAAGAAAATATAGGTTTACATGCGGTCATCATTTGGGGTGGGGGGGCACTCCCAATGTTTGGGTAGAATTCTCGCATGGTTTAGCCGCGTAGGATTTTTTTTTCTTTTTTTTGGGGGGGGGAATGGAGACTCTAGTGGTTGGAATACCCTGCCAGTGTATGTTTTTCAATGACTATCCGTCTCCATTATTAACTCTATCATCCATCGCTGCAGGCAGTTGGTTTAGACTCTCAGCTTATAGCTGTTTGGTGTTTAGTCATGTGTACGTGGTCTTCGGCGACTTCGTTTTTCATCAACCTGGTTCCTTAGTAACCTCCTTACAGTGCCCTGCAGAACGTAGTCTCCTTTGCCGTATTGTTTCAGCAATCGGCGGTGTATTCTTGTATGGCTCACGTTTTGAGATGTTTCAGACGTTTATCAGCATAATAGTGTATGTGGAATCTGATCTTTTCTCTAGGGTGTTTGTAAGTGTCCAACTCTCCGACATGGTACCGACTGCTGGGAATTTTTTAACCTTTCGTTTTAAACCCTTGACGCGATGGCTAGATACTTGCTTATAGTTGTCTTGTCTAAAGATTACTTGACCGATTTAGGTTCACCTCCAAGTTGTTCGGATCATCATCATCATCATCGGTCGACCGTATTGGTCGGAGTTATACCGCCCCTTACGAGGTGACATACTCTTTCGTTAGCTTAATACAAGACGGGGTTCGCCACGCCTCCGTCCGGGTGATGATGTAATCACCGTGTGTGGTGATGTAATGACCATGTGGCTGATACGGAACAGAGGTTCGCCAGGCCTCCACTCGGGTGATTTGAAGTGAATCACCAACTCCATACTGTAGTGTTTGTTTGTACCATCGCACACCGGGGCATGCCCCTTCTCTTTTTCGAAAGGTGTGGTGGGTTCTTTAACGTGCGTGGGGTGTGGCTCTCCCCAAACACGGGACCTCCATTTAACGTCCTATCCGAGGGACGTCCCTAGCCGAAGCTAGGTACTCATTTACACCTGAGTGAAGTGAGGAAAGTCGTGTTAAGTGCCTTTCCCAAGGGCACAAGATCGGTGACAAGGTGGGGGGGTTCGAACCCGCAACCTCTGGGGGTGTGAGCCGAACACGCTACCGATTGCGCCACACGACCCACATTGGGTATTCAACCTGATAACAACCAAAATTTGGGCCTTGGGCCAGCGTTGGTGAGTGTGCCGCCAACCCCAATTACATGCTTGTGTACTGCCAGTTGAGCTGCAACGGTTGTGATGGTAAGTACAGGTGGAGCCACACGGGTGCCAGAGTACATTGCAATTTTGCGGAATACAGTGCAAGTATACTAGTATACAGTATAAACTATACCAGTATACAGTTTAATTTTACGGAGTGCAATCGTATCAGTATACAGTGCAATTTTACGAAATACATTGCAATTTCACTAGTGACGTTGAATCACGTGACTTTGATCCTGCTTTTCCTTGTAAATGAGTTTCAAGATGGCGGACGCCGCTGACTCACATATTTCTGTCTTTTTCGAGATGATCCCTGTTCAGTAACATGCCTGTGTGTAGTGTGTAGTAATTTGACCAAAAGTCTATCTACAAGAACGGACCAAATTCGCTAGAAAAACACAGAAATATGTGAGTACGGTCCGTCAGCGGCGTCCCGGAAAACGCGTCTAGGCTACGCAATTCAACGTCACTAGTAAAATTGCACTATATTCCGTAAAATTGTACCGTCTATAACAATTGCACTGTATTCCGTGAACTGTGTACTCAGACACACCTGGGCTATGGATCACCGGAGGTAATCATCTATGTTATGTATAGTATTCCAGGACTAACATCAACATGTCAGTAACAGTCAGGTCGTGTTGCGTAACGGTACTCGTAGTGTCCGACTCGGAACCAAGAGGTTCCGTATTTGACTGCTGCTTGCATGCCATGCCACTGATCTTGGGTCCAGGTACAATACATTCATCTTTATCAGTACTTTAAAAATCACAATGGTATAAAAATTACTACTATTATGTAAGACCACTTTTAAAGATTAAGGATCGGGCAGTCAGTCAGGTAAATGGTTTTATTCTTTTACAGCTCAATACATTCTTTCTACCTTCTAAGCCGTCATTTACTAGAAGCAAGTATACTGTAATATTGTAGCATAATGGTTCGATTTTAGTATTTTAGTTGTATAGAGGACTTCTTTATTCAATAATGTTGCAATTCAACAGCTTCACAATCCACCACGTCTCCAACAACAACCCATGTGTCAAGTACTACAGCACAGGTCAGCACCACGCCTAAAATTCTGTCAACAGCCATGGTACCCACCACGTCGACCCAAACAACAACCCCTAGACCCAGCACTACAACAAGGGCTAGCACAACCGCAGCACTGCCAGCAGTGACGACAGCAGCGGCTGCTGTTCCCACAACGTACTCAACAACAACCGTTGGGCCCGGGACTACAGCAGAGGCCAGCACAACTGAAGTCCGGTCAATAGTGACGACAGCAGGGGCTGCTGTTCCCACCACGTACTCAACAACGACCGTTGGGCCCAGCACAACTGAAGCCCGGTCAACTGTGACGACAGCAGGGGCTTCTACAACGTCCCTGACGACAGCAGCTGCACCAATGAGTACAGTAGACGTTATCACAACAGCAGGGGCAGCTGTACCAACTACGTCCCCTACAACGTCCGCTGCACCCACAACTTCAGGGGCCAGTACAACTGCAGTTCGGTCTACACTGACGACAGCCGGGGCTGCTGTGCCCACTACGTCAGCACCAAAAACACTTAGATACAACACAACTGTGACAACAGATGTAAGCACAACGGTAATTCGGTCAGCACCCATTACGTCTACAGCAACGAACCCTGTACCTAACACTACAGCAGAGACCAACACAAGTGCAGTTCAGTCAACAGTGGGGGCTGCTATTTCCAGCACATCTTCACAAGCGCCCCCTGCACTCAACTCTACAGCAGAACACAACAACACGATGTCTTTGTCTTTGTCAACAACAGCGACTGCTGTGCCGATTCCGTCTCTAACAACGACCCCTGTGCCCAACTCAACAAAAGAGACCAACTCCACTGTTGTCCGTACTGCTGTACCTAGTACGTCTCTACTAATGACCCCTGCACCAAACATCACAGCGGAGGCCAATGCTACTAATGTCGTTAAGTCAACGAGCGCGGCTACTGTACCCACAACGCCAGGTAAGATTAAAAGATCTTTGGTACCACATACATAGATTCGTATTGGTAAAACTTTAGTAAGACAAATAGTCATAAAAATCTTCAGGACTGATATTAATACAGTTGAAAAGTGATTGCACGAGTGATGCGGTACTTTTGGGTAGATTTGCACCACATCTCCCATCTATGCGATGAAGGTGTATGCGCCACGGCACGTAAAGACAGCGGCAGTAAACGAGTACCAAGCAGTTTAACCAAGCATTAAACTGTAATTCTTCTTTCTCTTTTGACAGATATTGATGAGTGCATGACGGGAGCTCATGTGTGCCTCCGTGACGAACTCTGCTTCAACAGAGAGGGATCGTACGCCTGCGCCTCGTGCTACCCCAACATAGCCCTGGTGGGAGGAGGGGCCAACTCTTCGGCTCCTGTCGACATCAAACGGAGGGTGCCTTTTACTGTGCAATGTACCGTGTCAGTGGACTGTAACGTATCCTATTCCTTCCTTTTCAACTGGTCTTTGTACGCGATGGATGATGGCCTGGCATCCGTAAAAATTACCCTTCCTGAGAATGTTGAAACAGCCGGATCTGAACTCACCTTACCGAAGAACGTTCTGCCGTACGGGAAGGTCGCCATCCGGCTGGAGGTCACGGTGGAGGAGACCTTGTCTGGACTCCGCGTCGTGACGTCAGCTGGGCAGTGGGTGAATGTCTTATCTTCGGCACTCCTGGCTGATATTGACGGTGGTTCAGCAAGGTCCCTAGCCCCAGGATCCGACATTGTCCTCGACGGTTCCTTTTCTACAGATCCAGACACCATGGTGACAGACTCGGCAGACTTCACCTATAACTGGACCTGTGTAACAGAATCAGGTTAGAAACACAACAAGAAAAGTTCAGATGTTTTTTTAATGCCGTTTGCCGTTTTTGATGAGTGTGAAATGTCAATGCAATTCAGATGTGCCCAAAGTATGCCGTGTTGATGTTTAATAAAGATTTGATTTGATTTGGAAAAAAAAAACGTACATTTTGACTTAACATTTCTACGTTTACCAACCCTTATCCCTACTTTGTTTCAGAATGTTGTCTGCTTAAAAGGTTTAAAAAAGCATTTTACCATAGGTCTTACCAAAATTAATGAATATTGAATTAACAATCTTTATAAATAGAATAGCCCATATTATGTAGCTGTATATTCTTTCCAGATGAGCTAAATGTACATTTGACCATTTACCTTGTATAGGATATACAACATGATATTGAACATTGTAATATTGAAAAGCTGCATTCTAATGTTAACTCTGTACATGATAGTAACACTATATATTCATGATCTATTAAATTTTACAGGAACTTCCTGCGACGACATGTTTCGCGATGGAGGAACCAATCAGTCCTACGTCATCTCTTCTGAGGACGTCGACACAAGTGCAGGCCGGTTGGTTGTGCATCTTACCGTGTTGTTCGTGGGCAGATCCCCTGGGACGACGTTTCAAATCCTGGAGATTTTCCCTGTCGGTACTCCATCTATATACATCAGGTACCTTCATTTCATTTCATTCTGTTCTGTTCTGTTCTGCAGATAGGAACTTCATTTGTGCTGATTCTGTGCTATGTTGTCATTGCAACAAATACCTACTATAAATCGGGTCGAAAATGTCAGACTTACACCGTAATTGCGTAAATAAATAATAAAAACCCGAGCGGTAGTTTGTTTGGTTAGACCAATTGTGAATGTAAACATAAGGCATTTGCTTTACAAATGTCAGCTTTCTAGTTCTTTTTGGCGACGTCTCATGGAGGAGCCTTATGGTACAGTATTGTGTGCAATCTGAAAGAATTCTAGGAATCGTACAGGCATTTTGTCCACAGATAAATAGAATGTCCATAAATAGCATTATCTGGCCCACATCTATGTCCACATTCCTGGAAACCCTCGGGAGAACCTGTCTGCCGGATGGCCCACATGTACTTTCTGTGACCCCTGGGCTCGTTCACTATACACTCAGGGTAAGGTAGCGTACAGGGCTTCCTCAAAATCATGAAATCATGGCAGTGCCATGCAAACAGTAACCCTAACAGCAACCACCGTCGCCATGGCAATGCATGCTTTCATTGCCAGTCTTGTTTGTCTTTTTAGGTGCTTCAGCAACTGTAACAGGAAAATCAACCCATCGGAGAAGCTCGTTCTGGTGTCAGTGTGTACAAACTGCGAGGAGAACGAACTGGTCAGTTACAACTGGACGTTACAGGAAGTTCCCGACGAGTTTGGCAGGTTCGATTTAAACTGGGACACCGAGAGCACCACGGGAAGGAACCTGCCGGATGTCGTCATCAAGCCAGAAGTCCTTACGGTAAAACACGCAATTAAATTTAATAGTGTCGTTAGGCCTGGCGGCAGCGTGTTCGACTCGGAACCAAGAGGTCCAAGATTCGAACAACATTTCTCCCGGCCACCGTAGAGTTTTAATAATCCCTAAAACGACATTGCAAGTTTTTTGGCACCTAAGAAATGTGGCAATCACCATCTACAAATGATAATAGATAGCGCCCGGGAAGGGGCGGTTGCTAAATTGAAGGATGGTATTATGAATAGAAAAAAAACGAATCCGAATATTCTTACTAGCTTCTTTCAAAGTAACCCGGAATATTACTAAAAATCCGTGCTTGAACAAAATTGAATCTTCTTGTTACCTCCGGGGAAGGAGATATCCTTCCGCGAGGAGGTTTTACTATGGTTCGAAACATTTCTGTCAGCAGCTGTTTCTCGCGATCGGCTGGACGGATTTGTCTGTGGTTCGGTATACGTATTGCTATTGGGCTGCAGATGATGCAGAACGTTTTTGTTTAATTGCATATGTGTTTATGGGCGTCGAAATAAAAGGTTTTTAAGTGCTCCGGACACCCCCGCCATGCTGAAAATGGTAATTACCATGTTGTTAAGGAATGCGGTGGTTGCAGTTTTGGGTCTTAGTATTCAAAAATGAGAATACAGAGGGGTGTCTGGTTCCGATAAAAATTTTGGGTGACGGCGCAGCAATGACGGCGGGGGTAATGGCGCGGGTGACGGTGCAGGCTGTCAGACACGTTAATCAACAGTGCATACCGAACCAACCGTCAGTAGCCATCAAACACATACAAACATATTACGCACATAACTTTCATACTACACACAAACAAATAACCTAAACCAATAGAATACAAAAAAAACCCGGAGGTTTGAAATCTACGATTTCCCTTGTTGAATCTGCTTTTATAAACTTATCTTATTGTGATATTTTATGGAAAGAAACTTTAAGGTTACAATCGTCTTTCCCCATGTATTAGGCTTTAGGGGACTACACATTAAGAGTGGAGACGACGCTTGCTGACGGTCGTCATGGTTTTGCTGAGTACAGTTTTGTACCGAACAAACCACCTGCAGTCGGGAGCTGCACAGTCAGTCCGGAAAACGGCACGGCCATGGTGACGGAGTTCATCATCAGTTGTAGGGGTACGTAACATTTACTATTAACTTGGATATATTACCTTAGTATGTAAATTTATACTTATTATAATATAAGCAATATCCAGTACTTGTTTCTGAACAAGTACTACATCTCACGTTACAGATTAGCCGTCCAATATGGTATATTATCATATAGCCAGAAGGCATCGACCGCCGTAACCTAAAAAGTGGTCAGTTATTAGAATAACAGACCACTTTTTGGGCCGTTTCATTATAAAGGGATAGGCAAATAACAATAGTGTTTATCTATTTAGAACGGATTGTTATTTATTTTGAATAATTACATTTTCAAAATACAGGATAATTAATAATTTAAGACACAAAATTTAAAAGGAAAAAGACTAAACATAATTTTGACACCCCCACTAAAAGTGGTACTGTTCAAATGTCACTTGGTTCTGTTTTTCTGTCCATTCCGTCTTTTTTCACGTAACACAGAATAGGTCGAAGATATTTTTAGGTAATGGGGGAATTTTATAAAGGAATCGTGTCAAATAACTGTCAGTCAATAAGGCTACATGATAGTATCGTTAATGCCCCGCCGCTCACTTGTTGGTTTATCGGTGGTTATCGAACCAAAACAAGGATTATCTCACCGTATCAACTTGGGCATCAGCCATTTATTACAAACCCAAAGGTAACACAATGCGCAACATAACATAACAAGATTCTATATATAGCTAGCTATGACAAGAGAGTGTCATAAATTAAATGAGTTGATACATACATAACTATGTTACACAATTCCTATCGATGAGGTTTCCTTGCTCTATGCAGAGCATATAGGCTTGGGTGCCCAAGTTTCTATAGCCCTTGGGCCACACACAGTTGTGCAGGGCACTACAGCTGGTAGTGCTGTGTGTTTGACCTTCCCACACTCTTTCTCATATGTGCTGAGTGCTATTCAGAGAAAGAAGTGTGTACCATTTTTTAAGTCTTTGGTATGACCCGGCCGGGGTTTGAACTCACGACCTACCGGTTACGAAGCGAGCACTTGAGCTATTGCACCGGTTTCGAGGAGCGTGGATTGAAAATTGTCTATCCTTGTATTTACTTATTCTTTAGGTTTCTCTGACTCAGACGAGCCTCTGACTTACACCTTCCTCTTCAACACGGACGCCGCTACTGGATTCTCTCCGCTGTACACAGGAACGGTATGTCATTTTGGAGTGGTTGTGTAGAAAAACCAATTCATGTCTTTATTGACTTAGAAATTATTTCTTTTTATCTATCTTTTTATATCTTGATAATAAGAAATTTGGGTAGCTCCAACGGCTACATTTAGCTGATTTCCATTAAGGCCAAATGCATACAAAAGATATAAAACATAAGAGAAATATATGGTATTAAAAAACATGATATCTATGTACATCAGAAGTTTTTCCAGACAGTTGTTGTCTGTCTTAATTGCTTTATTGAATTGCACTGAGTAGTATACTTGATTGTAAAAGCAATTAGCCTCGGGGCATTGTTTTGCAATAAACTTTCTTCTATGTAGAATTGCGGTCGTTTTATCATACCATTAACAAATATTATCTTATACTGAAAAGCTGTTTGTATTCAAATGCAGGAAGTTTTAATGTTTTTTTTTTCTTCATAGGATCCAACCACTCCATCGCAGCTCTTTCCAGTGGGCCAAGAGTCCAGTGACTTTGTCGTAAGAATCCTTGTTGAAGTGTCGGATTCCTTCGGGGCAATATCATATGTCGAGAGTTCTGTTAAGGTAAGGTATATGGCAGATACATGGTAAGCTTTTCATCAAAATCATCGGAACATATAGTCCCGTTTACACAACAGGCAGCAACAATAAAAACTAACTTAAGACTGTAAATGAAAACATACATAGTCATGACGACGGTGGTTGTTAGGGTTGTTGTTTGCATAGCAGAGTCTTGATATCATGATTTTGAGGAAGCCTTGTACCCTCCCCTCCCCTGAGTGTATAGTGAACGATCCCCGGGGTCACAGAAGGTACATGTAGGGCATATGGCAGACAGTTTCTCCCAAGGGTTTCCAGGAATGTGGGAATGTTGACAAACAGAGCCTGTGGACAAAATGCCTTTACAATTCCTAGAATGCTTGCCAATTGCAAACAATGCTATACCATTAGGTTCCTCTCCGAGACGTCGCCAAAAATAATGCAGTTCATTATATCGAACAGGGAAATTCGTATTCCTTATGGTATTGGATAAACTATGCATTATAAGTCAACATCCATATGTTCATACATATACAGAGAGAATAAGCTGAAGTTGTACATACTAGTTCATATCGGTCTGAAATACACATGTAAATGTAGAATAAAGTCTTTTTTAAAAGTTTTAAACAAGAGTTCCACGATCTCATACCTTCGCCAAATGATGTTAACCCTTGCGATTATACAATTTTAATCATTGATTTTGTAAATAAGGACCTCATTTGCATTTATTATATCAGTTGATCATATTCTCCACCCAATGACAGCCTTAATTTAACAAAAAGGCTATTATAGCTCTTCCTCATAAATTATGCAAATGAGGTCATGATTTCAATAAATTATGTTTATTGATTTTCACCTTCACTTAACTTCCAAATGTGGCAAGTATGAAATTCCCAGCAGTTACAACTTTGAAATTATAAAAAATTGTCATTAATTATGCAAATCAGGTCCTCATTTACATAATCTATATCCTCAGATGTTTTTTCTCGTTCTCAAGTAGATGTCACAAGTGTTTCATAATTCTATTATCGAACAAAGCAGATTTATAGAATGTCATTAATTATGCAAATTAGCTCCTGATTTGCATAATTGTCATTTGATTATGGCAAGCATCACTTCAACTACCTACATACCAAAAATCACGACAATCCGTCAACCGGTTCTTGAGTTATCCTCCTTCAAATTTTTTCAACAAATGCACCTGCAGTTCAAGAACAAGCAGCTAGGGGACCCAAACTTATGTCACTTCTTCCCTATTCCAAGAGCTATCTGTCATTCAAAATTCGTGACCCTAGCATGTCCAGATCACGAGATGTCAGAAGCGGAAGTTCTGCTGCAGTACCTAGGAAAGCCGCCAGGGGGCCCAAAATCTAATCATTTCTAAGTCTCATAAAGACCTACCCACCTACCAAGTTTCATTCTAATCCATTTACTGCTTCTTGAGTTATCTTGCTAAACCACACACACACACACACACACACAAACACACACACACACACACAGACAAACGCTACTGAAAACATAACCTTCTTGGCGAAGGTAAAAACTTTTACAAAATTTGCTTTATGCAATGACTTGTACGTATGTCCTTAGCACACAGGAGCATGAAGGTAGTACACTAAAGATATTTTTGAAATTCATTTATTCAGTTGTTTCTTACTGTGCAGTTCCGTTTGACAATGGACACAATCCTTGAATTCTCACTATAACGCAGCTCACCGTATATGTAATGCAAATATAAAATATGATAAACTAAAATAAAATATAAAAAAATAATGTATGTTGTAGGTCGTGGCACTTCCAGCAGAACAGTCCACAGCCGTAGCCTCGCAGCTCGTGGTTGGGGAGAACAGTCCTCTAACCCAGCTGGTGCGGGAAGGAGACGCCAAGTCCTTGGTGCAGATGTCCAACAGCGTCACGTCTGTCTTAAACACGGTCCCGACTAACGCGTCAGCCGAGACACGTAGGGCAGCCACTGAGGTTTGGATAGTTATAACCATTTCTAATGCCATTTCTCCTAAATTGAATGAAATGTGTTTAGTATTTTAGATTTTAGACCTGAATGATACTGTAGTTGTCTGCTCTCAATTCAGAACTGTTTAAAGAAATTGATCATATATGGAATTATCGCAAAACTAATTTACAAGTTATCGTAACTTTTGTAACACTTTTAATTTGTATGTGATTCAGTTTGAGACATTTTGTAAGTTGTACGTAATTCAGCCAAATGGCTGCGAGGTGTCAACTGAAATAAACGATTAACATTCTTAAAAAAGCTTTCCACAGATTTTCCGTTTTTGGCCAAAGGTTGATTTTAACTTTTTCATGCGAAAATACCCTATAGCTAGATATGATGTTTTTGGGAAAATTTGGAAACAAGCTTTTCATATTTCTTAAACCAAGTGATAACAAGATTTCAAGATGCCAGATACTACAGGAGGATTTAGATGTGTCTTCAGATGACGTAACTCACAAAAATAGGTTATATATATTGTATATCCCTTGCTATTAGAAAGAGCTAGTAAAACTCTCTAGCTGCACTTAATGAAAGACTCACGTTAGCGCCCTTGCTGGTCTAATAATTGAATTCGAGTAAGATGTTCCGCCTTTACCACACTATGTGTTCAATAGTTTTTTTGCCATACATTGCATGAATGTTGTGAAATTGAGTACCCTTTTATTAATATACATTATATTACATTTTGGAACTGTTTTCATGCCCTACAGGTCAGAGAGGCTGTGGTAGCTGCATTGACGACCATCAAACCTACAAGCGTGTCGTCTGTGAACCTTGTAGCGAGCGCGCTGGGCTCGGCCACAAGCGGAGGGGACGACGTCTCAGCGGATGCGCAGGTAAGTAAGACATCTCGTCTTTAAATTAAGAAACTGTTAATTTTTGCCTGCATTAATCGATTCAACAAAAAAACAAGACTGGCAATAAAAACATACTTTTCAATGGCGACGGTGGTTGCTGTTAGGGTTATTGCTTGCATGGCACTGGCATCATTTCATGATTTGAGGAAGACAGATACAGTGCACTCCTCCCCTGAGTGAATAGTGAA